TACAGTCCAGAATACCAAAAGATCGTTCAGATCCAGAGCAAATGGTTGCTGCAGAAGGGCTAGGTTAAGTTTGTTGTTCGGGAAGGGCTCCTAAAGGCAAGTTGCACGATAAATCCCAGAGACGTGTAGTATCACTACGCTCAACAGGACAGACTTTGACGTCCCTGAGTAGGCACAGCGGCGCCTTACAGCGCCCTATCAAGCTGCAGCATACCGACCTGAAAGCCCACCGCCCCCGATCGCCCTTAAATATTCGACCGATTCTACTCGACCTGATTACTTGTAAATATGGAGCGGCTGTGGTGCTGCATGGATATTTGAGCGCATTCATGCAGCCGTATCTACCGTAGCGGTTATTGGCACGATGCCAACGGGAAACCCGTCCGAAATTGCTTTCTGGGTTGTGCAGAACAAAGGTTTCGGCTTTCTGTCCTTCTCACTTCGTTTTTCGCCATTATCCCACTATATAGCACCTCTCCTACCATTTTAGACCGAACACCAAACTATCCCGCGCCTTATGTTTTTGGGGCATGTTCAACATTTAGGGGAGATGTGGATCGACGCCGTGTGGGATAAACTGTTCTGCAAAGGTGTCCTACTTTCGCCATTTAAAGGGCGGGAGAAAAACAGGATTGAGCTTAGTCCGTTTGGGTTTCCATTCGACATTCATAACGTGCAGAATGTGTTTCAATGCCAAGGCCTTGCAACGAAGAACTTGAAGGGCGAGCTGCCTATCGCGGCCAACTGTAGAGAAGAACAGCTAGCAAACGAAAGGAGAGAGGTGCAGAGAAGAAACATGGCCGACTTGGCCAAGATAGCTCGTAGTCGTCGTTTTACGTCCTGCGTGCATTGCTTGTAGGTGGGGCCCCAAACGCACCCAGCTACCACTACCCTCCGCGTTACACTGTCATTTGATGGGGTAGCTCTAAAGCGCTTCATTCCCTCCGCCCTGAAGAGAGTATCCCGCTGAAACGCAGGCCAATGAAGTTATTTTATCAGTCTCGTGTGAAGTTGGAGCCAAGCCCCCTACAATCGATACAGTGCCAAGGTTCATGGAAAGCCGTACATGGCAACCGACCGACTAAAGCGGAAGAAAAACCGGAAAATAAAGCGCAAGAGAGCAAAATGGCAATCATCATGACGTAATGGGCACCGGAAACAACGTCATGATGGGTGAGGCGGTGTCATTATCCCCTCACCTCAGAAGCTCCTCCTCTGGTATGAGCCCCTTCCCCATCCCACCCACCATCTGGCTACCCATCACCACGCCTCCACTGGAATATCAACTAGGTCATTGAAACCAACTAAACCTCAGCCAGACCTCAACTAGAACCCAACTGGAACCCATTAAGTGCAAACCGTTGGTCTAAATGTCCGATATCTGCTGTGCAAATACACCACGGTTGAACCAGTGCTGGACGGCTGTCATTTGCGTCATATTGCCACCTTATTCGGTCACTTTGCGAACTAATATTGACCTTATAATCGCCACTCTCGCCCAACTACTGGTATACTGCTACATTCTGAATAATACCCCCTCCATTCCTTACTTCCGGACGGGAAAAAAGTCAAAATATCCGTCCATTCCCGAAAAATGAGATCCTTGGATTTGACATTTCTAATTGTTTCCTTAACTACTGCTGTGAACTCCTCGACGGCGATGGAGCCATTCACTTTGAGGCATATCAAACTTGAGCCAGCGCCAAAACCGCTTTTTCTTGCCAACGCCACCCATGAAGCTATCAAACAATTCATGGCGATATTTCATCTGTCTGGGATTCCACAAATAAGAAAGGTAAGACGTTACCTTTCAGATGAATTTCTGATAGATATATTATATAACAAACTAGCGTGCAGAAACCAAGCTTTTGCTTTATAAAAAGACTATGCGAGAAAAGTACACGCGATCGTTCAGGAGTTCATGACATGTGAACAGGCGCGGGTCCTACATATTTGATTTGATGAATTTTTCCACTGAAGATTTTTCCCTTTTTTGACGTATTTCCAATCGTCACCCTTTCCACTTGAGGGATTGTCGTATCTTATCAACCTTGCAATTTTGTAGTTTATCTGTTGTGCTCCTGCTTCCTTCTCCAACTGGGAGAGTGGAGCAGAATCTCGGCGAGCCCATTCCCAACTCCATGCGCTGCCAATCGGGGTGGGTCTGCGGCTGTGGCCAGTAACGGTGCAAACACCTTCGTAGTCCATGGGTCAGGTTCGCGCTACTCTCGCGTACAGCGTTCTTCCATCTTTCGAGCTGTTTCAATAGTTCTATGTACTTTCATCTGGTAGTATTGTATTGCAGGAAGGCGATTCAAATGGTCCATTACTTTCCAGGAAACTCTGTGGTGATTCCCGTTCGTGCACTAGCGGGACCCTCATACCCTGGCAATCCTGTACGAGGTTGTATTTGGTGGTCGCTGCACAAAAGGTGGTCGCATCTGACCGCGGAAAAAAATTGATAGCGGATTTGTCCTGTTTCACGCGCACTATCCACATCTTGGGAGTCCTCACTGTATTGGGGGGAGGGGGGCCATACTTGATTGTCGCTCAAAGCGTGGAGAGTTAAGGGTATCAGAGGAAGAAATTTGAGAGGGGATCATATATATTTTGCAAAAATCCTGTCCAGCAACGAGACGTGCCCTGTGCACTAGACTAACAGTATGTCTTGCAGGACAAATGAGGCAGGGGTTCCACTCGGGGCTACGTAATGCATGCTCACCTGTGCCCTGTCACCACCGATATCTGGATTTATGGGGGGAAAACCGCTAGTGCTGCGTGTGATATCTCCTCTAGACATATCGTGAGGGTGGTGGAGTTTCCGCGTTGCACCCCTAATCTTTGCACCCACTTTGTGTACACCGTCGCGTACACCAGCGTCATTTCAGGTTAACGAGCTGGATGTGATGATCGGCACTCTGCGACCCGAAGTACAGCAGTCCTATCAAGGATATAAAGCCGATGCCTTGCTGATGAAGTTGTCACAGGACGAACGGTTACAGGAGATCACAGAAAAGGTTTGTTAAATGAAATATGTGGCTCATCGGTAGAACTTCTAATAGTCAAAGCACTCAAGTCAGTAGAAATTCCGATCTGGCGTCATATAAGCAGCGCTCCCACCGTGACCCGACTAATTCAAGGCTGTGTTCATACATCGCAACTGAAGCGATTCAGCCGCTCTGAGGTGACTGCGACCATCCACGAGCAAATGCTAATCGTTAGGCCACTGCAACTGCTGATTCTGTTACATTTATAATCGAACTCTTACCTCGACCGTTACGCAGCCCAAGTATTAATAGTGTGGCGCGGCCGACCGTGATCGCGCGACTCAGTATTAAAGTATGAACTCGGTTTAACGTGGAAGGGTTAAGACATACCTGATCAACCAGCTGGGAGATCCTCTTCCTGTTTCTCTTCGCTGTCTGAAAGACAACTCTCGATTTCAAACTGTTAAGCAGTTAGTGAAGATTGCGTGTCGCTTTGATGCTTCTTGTCAAAACTAAGGGATGGGTGCGTTACTACTGATTCTCACCTACACGGGATAGACGCCATTGTGCCCTTGAAAACTGTGCGGCAAAAGACTCGTTCGCATTGCCGGTCTGACTACTCGTGCTTATTTAGAGATCGTATGAACTCGGCCAGAGTTCGCACTAATTTTCTGTTCTCCTTTGCACTCTCCTGCCTAGAGTACGTTCTATAGTAGCTGCGTCTCTATGCATTCTGACTACTCACACACAGAAGCTCTCCATCCATCCGAAAGCTCTCTCCCCCACCCCATTGAAACACGCCTTCCAGGGATTAGTATTAGGTTGGAAAGAAGGTCCTGCTACGATTGAACCAAAATTTCTGATAAAATTCCCTTCACTAAGCGACACCTCCAATCTGCAAGGTAATCACCATTAATAACTACTATAGGACATGTGCCCACCTTTCTCACAGCTTTTTGGTTCCACTCTTATAAAACTGCAGTCATGACCACTCTTTGTCGGACTGGTGCAATTCATGTAGCATCCTTCACAGGAAATTTTCCCATTAACCGAGATTGCGGAGAAGCACGGCAGTTGTCAGTCAGGTGGAGCCTAGAGAGGTTGCCAACTTACTGGTGGTTACGTTCGGCTGCGCCTCAAGAAGCTTGAGTAAAGGGCCGTCATTCTGTGCTGGTGGCCGACCTATACATTGCCTACCTCCGAATTGAATATAGTGTAGTTCGCTGCGGACGGTTGGGCGTGTCAGTGCGGCTGCGTTTGGCGCGGTGCCAAACTCGTTCTCCACCAGTTGTTGAAGCGAGCAAGTGACAATGCTGTATCATATCGTTCGTATT